TTTAGTTATTTTAGAAGCAGGTCTTCAATAGAAAATTAGGTACGTCACTAAAAACCCCAATTTTTCCTTCGATACTTGTTGCTGGTCATAGTAGACGGTCCGGATATTGTTCACGTGTTAAGATCCGGTATCGCATCTAAAGTGTAACTTTCCTGACGTCGAATAATATGTCTTACTAAGATGAATTTTAATGGAGGTCACCAAATTTATGGGAAAATTTATGAACGGGTTACACAATATCGCTTTGGTTGGCTTTAAATAAAATTGTATTTTATTTTATATTATATTATTAAAGTTGTATATTATATTATAATGTACTTACTATTATAAAAAAAAATGTTTTATCATATATTTCTTTGTAATGGTAAACTAAAAACTTGCTTAACCAATTTAGGTGAACTTCGATAAAAAGAAAGTTTGAGACCCTGGAAAGGACATAGTATAGTTTTTTTCCCGGAAATCATCCCTTAATGGAGTGAAAAGGGGGTGAAAATTTGTACGGGGAATCAATAATTTATCAAGTAAGGGAAATATAACTTATTATATCTATGTATTACTATACATATGTATATAAACTGATATATAATCTATCTATTCCATACTAACGATTAAAACGTACCTAGAGACGAACCCGAGCAAAGCAAGGGTGAGTCGAGTTTGTCTGTGATTTCAAAATAGCTTTCCATAGTTACTGAGTTCATGTTGATGTTATACGTACAGTAAATAATCCTAGGAATTATAAAATGCTTATCTGTTCTTACCACTGATCTGCCGAATTTACTGAATTTTCATTTGCTAATAATAGATTTGGGCGGCATAGAACAACTCTGTATTTTATTCATATCTGCGGGCGAAACTTTAAATATAATATCACAGATATTGTCATTTTGAAAATACAGTGAAAGGTGATTGGTCCCAAGATAAGAAAATTTTTGTGGCTAGTACAAATATCACTTCATCATCACTTCATGTGGGAAATTTCCCCCATACCAATATAAAAGGTCAAACATGTTTTCTATTTCGCCATGATTAAGATTCAAATAAGTTTTGGTAGCTTATATAAAAATGGTAGCAATAAAGTATTATATTATATTTTTGGAACGTTTTTTTTCCAACTTTAACCCTCAATATTCTAATAAGAAAATATTTTTATATTCACCCTTATGGGCTCACCCCAGAGCATGCCAAATAAGTATACGTACTGTATGAAAACTTAACCCTTCATAAATTCCTTATAAAAAACATAACTCTTTCTCTTTAAACACACTAATATGTAAATTCGAAAGTTTGTAAATGTCTTTGTACGTACTTCTTCTTCAGGTTCTTCAGGCTTCGGTTTCTTAAAAATGGAGATATAAGAATGGAGATTTTTTACCATGGATTAACATGTATATATATTTGAACTCTTAAGCACAGCATAATATTGCGTCTTAAAATACTGTACACATATAAATATTGTTTATTTATTTATTATATTTGTACGTTCCAGTCTTTTTTTCTAAGACTGGGACGTTAAAAAGGGCTGCTTACTTCGAAGCAGAGTTTCTTACCGGTTTTCCTCTGCGTTCTGAGCCATTCCCCTGAACGCATAACTAAATGTAAAAATTATCTTATTGATTGATTAAATGTGTATAATAAAAGTTTATTTAAAAAAAGCTTATATTAATCTAAATCAATTTTATTTGAACATAAAAACCTTTTTATAAAAGTACAACATGAACCAAGCCACGAACAAAAACTTGTTATAAAAAACATATTAAAATTTTCCTATTATAATAAATATCAAACCATAATAAAATATTTCGTCTCTTGTTAAATACCAACATGCTATATTAGTTTTTGTATGTACATACATATAACGCAGGCGAGTGAACCTCACTGCCCTCCTAGGAATGCCGCGGTCACCGAATTTATAGCTCTAAGCGATTTATGAGCGGTGCGCGTTTTGATGTTAGAGACAGTTATATGTTTGTATATATATATATATATATATATATATATATATATGAATTATACACTAGCTACTTAATGTATTTCTACTTATGTTTAGTGTATATATAGAATACTTATTGTGAAGGTCATAGGTTCGATCTTTGCAAGTGTAATTCTAATTCTATTCACGAAAAATCGAGATTATTCCATCTTGATTAAATAGATATAACTTTTGAACTGCATGTATAGGCAGTCGATTATATTTTTTATTAAATAAATACTATGACGAATATCCTAAATAATAAAAAACTCAGAGAAAAATTATGAGGATTCCCATACTAGTTAAATTTTAAAGAGTATTTTATTTTTACTCTATTATAAAGAGGATAATACACAAACATTAAACTTGGTCAAGCTATAAAGCTACCTTTAAAGTATAATATATCTGTTGTTATAATAATAAAACGTAGCGAAGTGCGAAGTGGACTTGCACAAGGGATTTCAACCACAATTCAATATAAGTCCTATTTTAAAGACCGACTTTTAAAAAAGTTGATGTAATTAAAACTTGCGTATATTTTTACATACAATACGTTAGACGAATTATATAATATATACATAATAAACAATGTACGAGTATGATAACTGTTTTAATAAATTAAAAAAAAACCAACACAAGAACCTATTCATTGTGGTTATTTTAATGAGACTAAGGCACGATATCTCTGCAGTATTTTAGTCCAGAGTTAAGTATCTTGCAAGTTCCGGATGACGCTGCAGCATCAGGCCAAGGTTTTCATATCATTAAAGTAACCGGATACCAAATTTCAAATTGATTAGATAAGAAGATAAAAAAGAGCAGATTGCAGACTGCAAACGGCTGACCGGATTTTCTAGATTTATAGCTAAAAACACTCTCAATTAAAGCATCTTTCAAAAATAAAACATTTAGGCGCTATGATGCCAGAAATACATACACAGACACACAAATATACGCGTTAAACTCACTTTTTCTACTAGCCTAATGTAATGTACCTGGGAATGTTTGTATTAACGCAAAATAATAATTTTACTGTAAGCAAAAAAAGTCTACTTAGGTACTTATTTTTCTCATATTATTAAAATTATTTAAATTTATTAGTTTATGTCGCAGATACATCTATTTTATAGAATCATCGCCAAATGCTACGACCATATTAGGTACTTATAGTCGAGCTTTCTACAATAATTCTGTCTGATCCAAGTTTAATGGCTTATGAAGATCAAGTTTCTAGACATACTTTAAAGACTTAAAAACACTACATTTTATCAACTATATCCTAGTATATAAAACTAGTGACTCACCCTCGCTTCGCATGGATTTGTCCCTAAGTTCATTCCCCATACAAACTTTTATGCCCATTTTCATCCCCTTAAGGGATGATTTCCGGAATAAAAACTTTGTCCTAAAAGTCTGTGTCCTATCCAGGGTCTCAAACTATCTTCTTACCAAATTTCATTTTAATCGGTCTAGTTATTTCGGAGCTTATTTGATATAAACAAACTAAGAAAAAAGTCTTTATAATCTTCTATACAGATAAATAAAATTAAAGTGTCTGTTTATAATGTTAAAATAACAACGTTTTACTAAATGCATATGAATTATATACGGTACTTATAAGAAAAACACATTTTTTTTAAACTTTTTGTCTGTCTATTTGTTCTGGATAATCTCTTAAACGGCTGGACTGATTTTTACGAGACTTTCACTGGAATATAGCTGATGTTCTATGGAATAACACAAGGCTACTTTAAGGGATTAAGGTTCCACTCAAAAAAATTAAAACGTACCTACGGACGAACCCAAGCGAAGCATGGGTAAGTCGCTAATATTACAGTATAAAAGTATAGATAAATATTATCATATGTATCGGCTTTCACAAAATGTCCTTTTTTTTTTAACGTTGGGAAATGCATTTACGCACGACGTGTGGGACTCACCGGCGTAATACAGCCAGTACTACTCACTAAAACCCAACAAAACCTCCCCCGTCTTAATGGGGCGTCGCAGGATCGCTTGCGCATTCAACTACGACGCCCCGACGGCAGGTCTGCCGAAGCAGACCACCACAACCGTGGGGTTGCTCCACAGTCCACTCTGCTATTAGAGAAGTACCAGGAGCAACCCGCATGGTACACCGCCCGCCAAAGAGGGCCACCTCCCACCGCCCACCGAAGTGGGGAACCTCCCTGTGCGTTTCTTAGCTTCGCGCCCGGTTGGATTGCCGGGCACTACTGAGCCCCCCCACCACGACAAGGTGAACGCACGTTGGGGGGGTTCACAAAATGTCCTGCCTTAAGACCGGCTTAGATCAAGGCACTATACACAGTACACTCAATGTATACATCGAGTGTTTATGTGTGAATTAACAATTACTTATTCTAAAGAAAACACGGAACAGAGACACTCGCGTTCACACAGATACACTCCGGTGTATACATGAAGTGTACCGTGTATAGTTTCTTAGTCCAAACCAACCATTAGACAGATCTCCGACATAGAAATAGACACTCAGAACACTATGAATGAGAATCGTCAGAAATACCTTCTTATATCTTTTGATTAAAAAAACTTACCTCTTTTCTTTTTTTAAGCGTTATTTTATTACTCAAGCAGGTAAGGAACTGCACATCATACAAGTTTCGTTCTTTAAAAGAGCTCTCTAGTCACAAGAGTTCTCAAAATTCCCATTTGACATAGTTGCAATTTCAGTAAGTGCGAAAAGGAACGGCTTCAAGAAACTTACAAGTTGTGTCAGCTAAAGAATTATTTTTTTGTTGTTTTATAATATTTATAAAAATGATAATAGTACTATATATAATAGATACTAGAAAAGTACTGTGCAGGAGATACCGGGTTCAATTTTCGTATTGGGACAACATGCGCCCATTTGACGTCATTTGTTTCTAACATATCTCTGGTTTTCTTCGGTTTATTGAGAATTTTATAATATAAAATTGTTGGTTTTAACAAATTTTGCTATTGAAACAATCTATATGCAATTTTATTATAAATTTTAAATATTTCAATGCATACCTGCCAGTTTCAGTCCGATACGTTTTCCAGGTGGTTTGATCAGTTCTATGTGAGTCCTCCTCAAGCCTCTCTCAGTACAGAGACCGGAATCTGTTGATAGCGACGTCTGCGATTTGAAAACTGCAACAAAAAGTATACATAATACATTTTTTTTTCTTTTATATTATTAAGTAAATTATAGGCTGTTAAAATATTAAAGCACTATGTGGAAAATCTTTGAGTAAACGGTAATTATTAATAAATTAGTTTTCTTTACATTTGATATTTTAGTAAAAATAAATTGTGTAAATACTCGCTTCAAATGAATGCATTATAAACAAGTCGTCGCCTTTTATTCATTAATTATAATACTAAATTTCATCGAAATCTGTCCAGCCGTTTTAGGGGTGAAGGAGAAAACATAGACACCAACACACATACAAACGTGCATTTGTTTCACATTCATATACAAACTTTGCCGTTATAATAGTAGTGGGGCAACAATTTTGTTGAGTATACAATCTTTGGGACATAATAATGAGAGCTATCGTTTCTGGTGGCAACATTTGGCGCCACACGAGTAAGGTCCTATTGCTGTCGTTTAAAAAGTATTTGTTAGTGCAGTGCAGCGCAGGACCATAAACTTAATATTATAATGATATTATTTTAAGCGCGGCACCAGTTTATCAGAATTTTGTTTTAAATATGTAACAGCGAAATAGATAAAATATTGACTTTTTCTTAGCTCTCCTTTCAAAGCAATAACCGTACCGTGTCCACCAAAATTAATCAGGAATGGCACGATATTAGTGAAGATCCGCGATCAAAAGCTCGCAAATACAAAACATTCAGTGCCATTTGACATTTCTAGAGATCTCACTCTACACTAGCGCCTCTCGCAGCGAATTCAAGCGCGGTAGCCTTCATGGGCTTGATTTATTTGCATCGAAATTCGTACACCAAATCTTAAACAGTGCTTGGTCGTTTGCTAAACAAATTTAAGACATTGAAATCAAATTATGATTTTGGTGCAAGTAACCCTAAACCAATATTCAAATTTAATTTAAACGGAAGGTACTAGTCTATTATCTAACTAATGTGTGCTTCGACGTATTTCGTATACTACCAGATATATATATTTTAGATTTTATCGAGCTTCAAGTTTGTTAGAAGTTTGTACGGACTTTAGTAACAAACGTAAATTCGTAAAATAATAGTATCTGTGGACAGTGTTGATGGGTTGGACCAATGCTTTGTTATCTAATGTTAACCTACAATATCCTTTGTATTGTGAAATTTCTAAAATAGACGCTTACCGTTCTCACTTTACAAATACATAAAGCGTGGACTTTACTTGTTTTACTAGTTGTACGCTCGCGCTTCGCACAGGTCCCTAGGTAGCTCTTTGAAGCAGACCCATGGGACCCACGTGTACCAACATAAAAAGTTACTTACATCCCTATCCGGGTATAAACTATTTTATGCTTTATACTATACGATTCATTGTTTTGTTGCTGCGTAAAAAGAGGATAAACTAAAAACAAATGGATAATGAGTATGTTCGTTATGTTAATGCATAATTTTCAGAGCATTACTTATCTTTTTGTATGTTCTTTCTAACGTGATTATTTTTTCAACACGTTTAACTCAGTTTGTAGTGTAGGTACTTGCTGTGCCAGCAGTCGCGGGTTCGAGTCCCGCTCGGGGCATCAATTTGTGTGATGAACACGAATGTTTGTACTCCAGTCATGGGTGTCTATATTTATAATATGTACTATGTATTTAAAGTTATATATGTGTAGTATCAACTTACCTGGTATCCATAACACAAACCTTGTAGCTTACCATGGAACTAGATGGTGCTGTATGTTAATGTCCCAACATATTATATTAATATTATACAAACATGTTAAGTTGTCCAAAAAAGTATAAAAATTTTAGGTAATCAAGCATAAGTAAAGTATTACTATATTCGCCTACAGTTTTCGTGTAATAGAAAAAAAATCCGTTTTACAATAAAGTTTAAACAAATTCTGACTTTCTTAATGAGAAAAAAATGATAAAAAAGATACTAAATGAAAAAATAAAATAAAAAACCCAACTGCGTAAAAAAACGAACTAAAAAGATGGGAAATAGGTATGTATGAATCATCAAAATCAGTAAAGCCGTTTAATAATTACGAAATAACATAGGATCAGACTTATTATTTACAAACATAAATACATAAAAACACACATGTCAAACACATAAACTCCTTTGGGAACCGTCGTAATTGAGTAAAAACCTGTCAACCTATTAATTATTTCATTTTTACTCTATTTTTTATGTTGGTAGTTAAATCAGTCGAAGTACGTAAAAATAACATGAACTAAGTGGTGCCAAAATTTCTAATAGCTATGCGTGAACGGTCAGATTCAACTTAATGGAAGACCTGCAAAAAGCTGCGGTCGTCATTGAAATGCGAAACGGTTGGAAATAACAACCTAACGTTGTTTAAACGCTGTATAGCCTCTAAAATTACTGTTTTCGGTGTGTCAAAGCTTCGTCGAATGTTTTTTTTATTTAACTGGTGCTAGTAAAATGTATTTTTCAAACGTGAACAGCGTGAAATTATTTGTTATTGATTTGAGAGTATTTTTGGCATTTATAACATGTTTTTTCTGTACAGCAATTACTTATAAATGTTTTATTTCTGGAATTATTTTAAAATGTGTAAACAAATAAATATAATTAAAAATAATGGAATAGTTAACACAGGTGAAGTCGCGTGTAAATATTTGTTAGAATATATTTTCTATAGATGTTAAAAATATAAATAAAGCCGTAGGTAAAGGCTAGTTATTAATTAAGCGAAACATTTTCGCTTATAAACGACATGATCTGTTACTTTTAACGTCGTTATCACCCCGAAAGCTGTTCTGACCTTTCTTACTTCTAAGTGGGAATGAAACTTGTGACAGTATTATGTGCTGCGTCGCAATAACAAGCGCCAAGTTAAGAGCTGATTGGATTGTTAGAAGTAAAACTCAAGTGAATTCAAGTTAAGAATTTTTCATATATTTTCATATCAATATATATATTTTTTTATTTGCAATAAAATACCAAATACTCTAATCTTAGAAAATCACAACCATATCACTACATAGCATAAAACAAAGTCGCTTCCCGCTGTCTGTCTGTCCCTATATATGCTTAGATCTTTAAAACTACGCAACGGATTTTAATGCTGTTTTTTTAATAGATAGAGTGATTCAAGAGAAAGGTTTATATGTATAATACATACATATTATAGTGTGAGTCGCTAGTCAATAAATAAGACTAATATAAGTCACATGATGAGGTGGTTTGAATGATTTTGAAAATACTTCTATGAAAATTACCTACCTGTATCTGTTCATGAATCATAAACCTTAGGACATAGGTAGATTAAAGGGTGTTGCTAGATCACCTTAGTTATACAATTATACCTGCGGTTCGCACTTTATAACAAAAAACTTAGTAGTATAGCTTTAAAATGCATTTTTTAGTCTTTAAGCCACTAGCCAAAGTATTGATGATATGGTAAAATGTGACAAAGAAACAAAAGGGATTAAGGTCTATACCTATATAAATAGGCAAAGGCAGCACCTTTTTCTCTTTTGTTTGTCAACCGATTATATTTTTTGTTGTATAGTAGCTATTAACGAGTTTTAGTGTTATCAATAGAAATAAACTACACGTAATGATTATGCTCCAATTTTCTTTTCGAGCACTGGGCGAACACTCTAGTATAAATTACTAACGACTCACCCTCGCTTCGCACGGGTTCATATCTAAGTTGCTTTCCCATAGAAAATTTCATCCCCATTTTCACCCCCTTAAGGGATGATTACCAGGATAAAATTTATTCTATATCCTTTCCAGGGTCTCAAACTATCTTCTTGCTAAATTTCATCTAAATCGGTTCAGTAGTTTTGGAACTTATTCGGTTAAAACAAACAAACAAAAAAATTAATCTTCCTTATTTGTAATATTAGTATATATTATAGATTAATATTTACGTGATATCGAAGAGGCTAAGTGCAAAATGTAAAAGTCATTAAAAATAGAATTGAATTGAATGAATCCGTAATAACCGTTCCGCTACATTTAATAACTTGGGCTAAATGTTGTTGTTTCATGAATTCACCAGGAGCAAGGGTCGTTAGTAAAACTCGGCGTTTCATTTAAAAGAAGGATTGCATTTTATCTGCCTCTAATTTGAGACGGAAGCTGTACAAGTTTTGTCGCCACCAAGACTGTTTTCTCTTATTTATTTAATTTCTGTTCAGAATGATTAATTATATACTACATTGTTTTGGACATCTGTCTTGTGTTTGAATTGCTTTTATTTATTTTATGGCATTAGTTGGTTATTTGATCTTAACTTTTTGTTATATCTACCAAGTTAAAACGTTAATCGATACATACAGTCACTTAAAATACTAACTCATCTTAGACGATGCTAGTTGGATTGTCATTTCCAATTTACATGTCAGAGAATATAAGCAAATAAAAAAATGATCACGATCCACACGACAAACATACATACATACAAACACACATACAAACATAAATACACCTATAAAATTTTGTATATTTGTTTGGAAACCCTGATAGATTACCATATGTGAATATTTTGCAGTTCCAATAATATTACACATATACGTGTCGAATTGATAACTTCCTTTTTTCAACCGACTTCAAAAAGGAGGAGGTTTTCAATTCGACTGTATTTTTGTTTTTTTTTATGTTTGTTACATCATAACTTCGTCATTTATTAACCGATTTGGACAATTTTTGTTTTGTTTGAAAGGGTATACTTCCAGATTCGTCCCATTTAAATTTCAAAAAATACCACCCTTAAGGGTGGAAAAATAGCTAATAATGACTTTAACCTACTTCTTATTGTCATATTGACTTGAAACTTTGCAAGTGTTTCTATTTCCGTTGATAGTACAGTGGTTCGGTATTGTTGAACTGATCTGATGGTAAGGTCAGAAGGTGGATAGGTGGAACTCTTCAACGACTAATAGTAGATACTTTGAGTTTGGGCTTATTTTGTTTTGTTTGACAAGCCTAACACTTTAGAATTCTTACTTTGCTACTACTGTCTACACTA